GTCACACTTCCTTACTTGCAGCTTCCCATCGACCTTATTTTTGTCTTCTGGTAGTAAGTGAAAATCTATGCCTTTTGGATAGGCCATGAGATGAGAAGTCACTACTCACTGCGCACTAATCCTTAACCTCAAACACTAACCACTTTTGATTGTCTGGAAAGTTGCCACCTCCTTCACCTTCTCCTTATCCCTTTTACTCAAATCCCTATTTCACCTCCGAACAGCACATATGGAACTGTACAGAAAAAGCCCCTTGTGTAGGTCGTGTGATAATTTATATCCTCACACGAGGGAAGATGCTCAATACATCATTGTGATACCTCCTCTGATCTGGCCGCTTTTACCATTGGGCTCTACACTTTACCGTTTCTAATCCCCCTCCTCCGCCTCCCCTCCTCATCAATCCACGCCTAATATACTCCTAATACCAGTTTGTCCACCCAACCACATTGTAAGGCGATGATTTACAATGGGACGTTCCATTAAGCCAACCTAGCATTTATTCAATTATACCATTGGGGAAGGGAGGCGAGAGGAGGAGAGGGAGGAGAAAGAGTCAGAAGAGGAAAGAGAACTGTCAGCCCACTAGAGTGGGCTACTGAAGTCACAATCATACATAAAGAAGCGTTGTGTTGACAGTGTAAAAGAGCAATAAAGCTGTGCTCACTAACTGAAGCAACTTCTGCTCTTTTCCTGTCGCCTGATTCACCATTGACGAAAATATAGCAGCGATTTCTTGATCCAAGGTCCCAATGATTTTGCTGCTGTTTCCCTGGTTTAATCGGGAATTTATGAAGTTTTTTTATAAATGGGCTTTAATTACATTCAAATTACAGAAAGTTTTAATTGTTTTTTGTTTTTACCCAAAGAAAAATTCAAAATTATAACTAAAATAAACTGCTATTTAAAGTCAAAAAGCTTTTTTTTAGTAGGCGTGAGTTTGTACCAGAATTTCAGTGAAACGCAGTTTCATGCTTTTTTGTTTAACCACGTAATTTTCGCATGGATTTGCTATCCCTCAACGCTTTGAGGAAAAAGCGGAATTTGCTGACTGGCTTCCACGACTTTTACAATGGAAGCCAACCAACCAAAAGGGGCGATTTAAAATATTTCGTTGGTTGAAACATTCACCATTGCAGTCCATAAACCTTTCTCAAATGGGCACAAGCTTGTAGACACCACATTTGTAAAAAGTATTGTCTCCTAAAAACCAGGAGACCAACTCTGTCCCTCTCCACCGCAGTTCTTGCGCCAGCGCCAAAAACTAATAGAAGGGGAAGGAGGTAGCTGGGCGATTACTAGGAGTGTGGTGAAATGTCATCAGGGGAAGTGGAAGGAGGGAACGGTGAGACCTAGGCTGAGGTCGAGAATAGGGATGCGGCTGTATCTCCGCTTTTCAGTCCCTCCCATTCCAAATACGGTGCGAATCTTCTCACTAGCTATGCGAATTACGGAAGGTAATTGAGAAGCTGTAGGTGGAGCAATGGATCAAAAGAGGACTTCACACCACACGCCACGAAGCTATCGCATGAGATTTCGCACTTCACTTTTGATGGGGGGAAAAGAGGAATTTGCTATCCCAACTACTGCTACTTTTGCAGCCTCATTATCCGATATCTCTCCAAGGCCCGATTGTGTACCAGGTGGGCACCTTTTCTTGGCACCAGTAATTGACAATGAAAACAGAGGTGGTCAGTGTTAGGTTAATCCTTTAAGTTAGATAAACACCTTAAAGAATAGTAGAAATTGTTGTTTGTTTTTCCTTATAAAGACTAGGAAGAATAAGGAGATCTCTTGGCTCGCAAAACTTCTTTTCTCACCTCCCAAAGTTTGCGAACTTAGGCTTCCAAGTAGAGTCCACAAAATTGACTGAAGTATCCTTGTAGAAGGTCACTTAAGCAACACATTTCCATCATTTTTTGTCGGTTTACCGGATTTGCTTTGGATTCCGCTTCCGCAGCAGAACACAGCAGATACACATGGACAGAGACATTCTGCCAAAAAGTTAAACGCTCTTTTGTCTAATTATCACCTTCACCTGATAGGAAAAATGATGCCAGGTTTCAATGTCTAATGTCCTGCAGTACGGTATTTTATCCCCCTACTTTTGGATGGCAGAGTACTCTGAGGCTATGCTAATGGGCAGAACATCACGACACCCAGGGGGAAACCAAAGCCGGGAGGATCTAAGAGCCCGCGCAACCAAACGTACAATTAAAACAAAAGCTGCCTCACTACATAGTCCTTCTCCCCAGCGACGTTCCTGATGGCTCTCTCGGTTACGCCTACATTTTGGAGGTTACAACGTTATCAGTCCATTTAAGCCTAACCACAGGTCAGGAATGAAGCCAGCAATTCGGTTTTCCCAGTTAAGAAGATCTGAGTAAATTCGCAGTTCTATCCTCTTCGTGAACTGCGTGGTGGAGAGCCACCGGTTTTGTGCTGTTGGAGGTCGGATGATGTTCTACAGTGAGTGAAAAACATTGTCCAGCTATATCTCCTCTATACCTGGTCTTCTTAATAAGGTCCACTGGTCCATCTGGGTTCCATTAATTCCCCCAGATAATCACCGCTTTTGGCAGGGGAATAGCTCCCCTTAAATTCTACCATAAATTGAAGCACTGTAAACCTCGGCTTTTTAATTTTTTGGTTTTTATCAAAGAATTGTTTAAAATTATGCTTTAATTTTTCCCCATGGTATTGCTTTTCTCTCTCTCTCTCTCCAGGGCCGAAAGCCGCGCTTTAAAATCCGGTTTTCATCCAGACTAAACATTGTAATAAACGGCTCTTTACTGTCTCTTTTGGACATTTTTAGAAGGATACAAAAGGGTTCTATTTTTGTTGCAAATCTACAATAAATAACTTGCTGCTTTTGCGTGCAAATTTGGGAATAAAGTAATGAAGCCTTTCGCGTGTCTAGCGAGAATAATTTAAATCCCCCTCTAGTACAAATTATAGGGGATGGATTAAAACACAGATTTCTTATGCCTCCTTTTCGATTTCGTTCAAAAAATCATATGTCTAATTTTAACAAAGGAGGATGAGGAAGACATAAAGACAGTGGAGGTGACTTCAGACAGTGAGTGCAGTAATTTCAGCAATATGCACTAATGGAGATGTCTATCCTTCTTCTCCTTCTCTAGCTGCTGCTACCATTCCTCCTGCTCCTACTGTTCCTCTTTGCTCCCTTCTTCCTACCCCTGTGGTCTAAGTGAATAAATGGTGGGTTGCCCTCAATGAAATGGTCAACCGTAAATCATCCCACCACAATGTAGTGGAGCTGACAAACTGCTATTAGGAGTATTTTAAGAAGAGGGGAGGAGAAGGAGGGAGAGGGAAGGGGACGTTGAAGTGGGCAAAAATAGAGACCAATCATAAAAGCGACCATATCAGAAAAGGTATCGCATCGGTGGTGCACTGTGCATCTTCCTTCGGCTGAGGGCATAAATCAACACAAAACCCACAACTCGTAACTCATCTTTCACAAAAGAGCAATTTTCTACATCATTAGGAAGAAAAATATGGAGTTGAACAAAAGGGAAAGGGGTAAGGAAGTGGTGACATTCCAAAAAATTAGAAGAGGTTAGCCATCGGGATTAGTAATTGGCAAGTGGTAAGTAGTGACTTCTCTCGTGGACGCTTCTCCAAAAGGCATAGAATTTTACGGACAGAAGATAAATTTAAGGTTGATGGAAAGCTGCAACCACGATTGCGTGGCAGTGAGACAGATAGGAGACAATCGCATGGCATGTCATGAGGACGATGGTGATGAGTGGGTGGAGTAATTTGCCAGTGATACATCTTTCTCGCACAAACTCGTGTGAATTCTGAATGGAAGATTAATCATTTAGCGGTGGTGCTGATGAAATCTTGGCGATTGGGCCGTATCAAAAATAGGTAGATACCGAGGGTCACCTCATTGATTGCCAATTCACGCACGTGGCGGTGATATTAAGACGTTGATGTCACATTTATTCAGTAAGTAAAAATTAGCCACCTCAATTTCATTTATTTTTAGCCGTAAGAATTCCATGGGTTGTTTATTTTACTAGCCCATTTTAGCTACTGTTCGGACAACAAATGACTCAAGTTATTATTGTTGCGCGCTTATATTAGGGGTCACTCTAGCGGGATCGCGTGACCCCTTCACTGTAGGGCGAGGGGGTATTTGTCAAACCTCGGCTGGGAGATGCTGCCTTATGTCCCCTCCAGATGCTAGAATTTTTCCACCATGTGCCATCTGTGGTCATTAATAATTGGTTTCTGTCATCGGCGTTCAATAAACTCCAGGTTTAATATCCCTTCTCTCTAGTCGCTCTTTCGACGGTGGGCAAAGTGAGGTCTCGTTTTGCTTACTAAGACCAAGAATGGGGCAATATCGTTATTTAAACTAACTAAAAAAATTTTTGACAGCCGTTGCGATGCTTGTCAGTAATTTCTTCAAGCTAACAGAGGTAATTTCATCTAGTCGTGGTGGGTAATGTAGATCCTCCCACCGATGTCATCTGCTTCTAGGACATCGTATCGTACTGTTATTTTCCTGTCAAAAATCCTCCATATTTCAGGGGCATAACTATTGTGGCCCAACAGGACTTCGGTAAAGTGAAGAAACTACACAACCTCAATCTATATGCTCTAGAGTTTGGCTTCAGTTATTACGGTTCACCAAGAATATGACCGGAGAGGGGAGGGATATGTCAACAAGGATAAATTTGATCTGACGACCCCTTTGTAGTCTCGACTTTGGCATCTGGACGATCAGGTAGGATCATTGGAAGGTCATCGATTAACCCTCGTTCACGGAGGTGCATCTCATCCAACATCACTTCATCGAGACACAGTGCACAGTGAGTGGTTGTGTAGCCAACGCCGGCAGAAATCCTCTCTGATGGCTCTGGTCGTCATCTCTTGGGTAAAGGTATCATATTTAGGGCAAACAATTACTGAATAATTATTCGTTTTCCACCATTAGGCAGTAATCCCGTAAACTTCGGCCATGCCACACGATTGGTAAGATTAGCTGATTCCATTCCCATTTGACATGACGGTCTTATACTATAAGATTGGATGCACTCGACAGGTGACCTAGAAAAAAGGCTTTCATCCTTTCTGAAGAGAAGAGAGGTAAGGCGATTGCTACGAGGACTGCATCTGCGTGATCTTATCAGGCCACCTCATCTCGTGATGGGCTGATGACACGAGGCCAAAAGGTCTAAAGTGTTGTACTCCATTTACCTTCTAAAAAAGTTACATCAGTTAATTATCACTGGGACGTCTCAGGATATAGCGGGACTTATAAAGGATGCCTCGTGGTAGTAAATGCCAAGCGTGACATCTTACTACCAGCTGGTGTACATGTCTTTAAAAAGTGCAGAAACTGTCACTAAGGCTAGCAGGTAATATGGGAAACAGAAACTCAAAGAGAGCGTGTAAATATCCACAGATGTACCAAACGTGGCTATGAATGTGCCGATCACGACCCCTTCCCCTACCCCCCTCCTCCGGCTGTGGCAGTACCACGGTAGTCAGTCCTGCGAGCATTCAGTCAGCGCATGAGACTGAAGCGGCTGTCACTCAGAAGAAAGCTCTTCCCAACTGAAGCTTTATGCCTATTAAATAAGGCTGAGTTAGATATTAAAATGGGGGGAGACCCCCCCACTAAAATAAACTGAGTTTGCACTTTTCAAAAATGAGTTTTATTGCCTTCCTTTAAATATCCTCCGTCCCGATTTGGCGTGAACACCCTTCATGATCAAATCATGATCCTGCGGAAGGGCTAAGAGAATCGTAGCGTACCTCGGAACCATCATCGTAGAAACAGAAACTGCTCACTGAATATCATACACAGACAGGATTAATATTGCTTTGGTATAGACAGCCGCCATGGTATAAATCCTACTCCGGATGAGTTTTCATAGTTATCCAGGGTTAGCTATCGTGTAGGTTTACCTCACACCTTTGATGAGGGTCGTTTATCCCCTTTCCTATTAGAAGAACTTAACAAGAATGACGGTGCTTTACAATTTAATTTCTAGTGGAAATCTTTGTTTTGAGTGGGCAAAAATTTTGGCCAGTTTTCGGTACAGCTCGGTCCAGCAGGTTTTTGAGTCTTGAAGAGACTTATTCAGGACTGTTATTAACTGTCTATCATTGGGGCACTTTACTTGTGTTTTTCGCTATTCATTTCAAATGTCAGTTAATCCTAATAAACGCTATTCAGACTTAACCGAACCTTATCGCACGGGCTCTGCAACAGCATTCAGAGGACCTGTAACCAGCTTTGAGTGAAGAGAGTCACACATTCCTGATGTTGGTGACGATCGGGTTTAACTAAAGTAGGACCAATCTAGGTTAGGTTAGCTCCGTGTCTTCATGTCTGCCATTTGAACTGAATCACTTCTAGTAGTTCTGACCAACTCCAATAGAACATACGTCCTTCAACACTCAGAGATTACTCGTCATCGCTACCAGCTGACGTCCTCATTAGGTGTAGAAGATTATTTTATGGTTCAGCTGATGGATATAACACTTTGGCCTTCTTAATGTCTTTATGTCTCCTCGGTA